GAAAAGAAGCTGCCCCCCCCAGTGGCATCCCCCACCCGCCAATGTCCCAATTTACCAACTGGGGTCCGATCGAGTTACTCTCTCTGAAGGCCCTCTTACTAAAGCTTGCCTTCGCAAAGAGCTACATGCACATTTATACCATGTGTCTTGTTTGTTTACGCTATGGAGATCTTGGAGATCAAGCTTTCTGATATAAATGTTTGTTTTATAGTGCAAGGGGCACTTGAAATAGCCTTCGTTATTAAATGTTTACAATGAACATGAGACTCAAATCCAAACTGGGGGCTCTCGTGGCCTAGAGGTTAAGGTGTTCACCTCCAATTCAAAGGTCCCGGGTTCGAATCCGGGTAGCGACCTAAAAATTTTCTTCTCTAAAATTGTCTCCTTTCACCTCATTTCTTGCTCTTTAGCAATTTTCTATCGTCTGCTTTCGTCTCCACTTTCTGCTCCCCACCCCCTCACCTCCTTTGCCCCTTCCTCTGGGCTTCTGACTCTTTCTGCAGCCTTTCTACTGCTACTCCTTGGCTCCTTCTTACTGCTGTCTTTCAGCGACACCCTTGATCTTCTGGTAGGAACGATCTACACCTAGCCTTCTCGGACAAGGGCAAAAACTCTCGGAGGTCCCATGTGCAAGTTGCGCCCGTTAAAGATCCTTTGGTGGTGTAAAATCGGTAAAAGTAGGCTTCGGCCGCCATCCGGGCAAATTTCCAAATTTGCTACCAGCTGAAAATGTTTAACGTGTCCCGCAAACTCATATGACCTTATTTTGCAGTTGCGAGCGCCGTAAAACACTTACCACCAAAAAACAAACAAAAAAAACAAACAAAATCTGCGAGAGAAGCTGGCGACCGACTAGATTCCGCCCCGCTATTTCAGTCTACTGTGTTCTCTCATTATCTCATGTTTCGCTAATTATATCGCGTTTACAAAGACAACCCCCCTCCCCCCAAACAAAAGACCAAACAACAAACCCTGGGTCAGTGTGACACAGGGGGCCATTAGCCGAACAAACAAACACCTCGCGGAAGGTCGGAGTTCAGACCCGAAAGGGGGAACAACCGGTGTGTCAGTGAGACTCCTGCAGGAGCAGGGACGCTTTAACTACCGGCCAGGTACCAGGGCAGCCTGCAGGGGGCCACACCTTGGATGTGACCTTCTCCTTGTCTAGTAGGGCGTTCTGCTTGCCCCCCCCCCCCACCCGCAATAAAAAAGAAGGGGAAAAAAGCTCCTGTATCTTCCTTGTTCTTTTCCTTTTCTTTGGCATAGCCTACTTGTAATGCTGTCGAGCAAGCTATTGGGAAGCACATTGACAGAATAACAATAATCTACGGGTGAGAAAAAAAGCAAAGGCAGACAAAGCGAAACTACTAACGGCAAAAAGTAGGACCCCCCCCCCCCCCCAGTGGCATCCTCCAACCGCCAATGTCCCAATTTACCAACTGGGGTCCGATCGAGTTACTCTCTCTGAAGGCCCTCTTACTAAAGCTTGCCTTCGCAAAGAGCTACATGCACATTTATACCATGTGTCTTGTTTGTTTACGCTATGGAGATCTTGGAGATCAAGCTTTCTGATATAAATGTTTGTTTTATAGTGCAAGGGGCACTTGAAATAGCCTTCGTTATTAAATGTTTACAATGAACATGAGACTCAAATCCAAACTGGGGGCTCTCGTGGCCTAGAGGTTAAGGTGTTCGCCTCTCATTCAAAGGTCCCGGGTTCGAATCCGGGTAGCGACCAAAAAATTATCTTATCTAAATTTGTCTCCTTTCACCTCCTTTCCTACTCTCTAGCAATGTTCTGTCGTCTGCTTTCGTCTCCTCTTTCTGCCCCCCCACCCCTTCACTTCCTTTGCCCCCTCCTCTGGGCTCCTGATTCTTTCTGCAGCCTTTCTACTGCTACTCATTGGCTTCTTCTTACTGCTGTCTTTCAGCCACACCCCTGATCTTCTGGTAGGAAAGATCTACACCTAGCCTTCTCGGACAAGGGCGAAAAATCTCGGAGGTCCCGTATGCAAGTTGTGCACGTTAAAGATCCCTTGGTGGTCTAAAATCGATAAGAGTAGGCTTCGGCTGCCACCCGGGCAAAATTCAAAATTTCCTACCAACTGAAAAAGTTTAGTGTGTCCCGCGCGCTCATATGACCTTATGCAGTTGCGAGCGCCGTAAAACACTTACAAAAACAAAGAAAAACAAATCCAAACTGTATGTGTGTATCATCTACAGGCACATACAAAAAACTGGGCAGCATGGATGTGGGTGATGGCATAACAAGAATACTTTGAATTATTGCCTTCGTTATTTTGCAATAGACGTGACTCTCCAATAGCCGTGACTCTCCAATAGACGTGTCTCTCCAATAGACGTGACTCTCCAATAGACGTGTCTCTCCAATAGACGTGACTCTCCAATAGACGTGACTCTCCAATAGACGTGACTCTCCAATAGACGTGACTCTCCAATAGACGTGTCTCTCCAATAGACGTGACTCTCAAACCCAAACTCTCTGTGTGTATCTTCCGCAGGTAGATAACCAAATCCGGGCATCATGGGTGTGGGTGATGGCATAGCACGAATACTTTAAATTATTGCCTTCGTTACATCACAATAGACGTGACTCTCCAATAGACGTGAGACTCAAACCCAAACTCTCTGTGTGTATCTTCTGCAGGTAGATAACCAAATCCGGGCATCATGGGTGTGGGTGATGACGTAGCACCCAGGTTCACCCAGAAGCCGGCTCTGAGACAGGAGGACAATGGTCAGCGATTGGTCTTCCACTGTGTCCTGGAGGCGTCGCCCAAGCCGGACATCGCTTGGTTCATGGGCACCACCCCGATACAGACGTCTGACAGAACGCGCATGCGCGTGGAGCCGGCGGGAGGGTCAGCCTTCAACGTGATCCTGGAGATTCTGGGAGTGGCCCAGAGCGACGCGGGAACCTACAAGGTGGTGGCCAAGAACAGACTCGGCGAGGTGTCTGCTTCCATCAACTTGAACTTTAGTGGTGAGTGGCAGTTGTGTGTTTGTTGTTGAACACCTTTCTCTGTGTGTTGTTCTTGGTGGAAAGTGACAGTTGTGTGTTTGTTGTTGAACACCTTTCTCTGTGTGTTGTTCTTGGTGGAAAGTGACAGTTGTGTGTAGTAGGTTTGCGTTTGTTATTCATCTTTCTCTGTCTGTTGCTCTCAGTGGAAGGATGTGTGTGTGTGTGTGTGTGTGTGTGTGTGTGTGTGTGTGTGTGTGTGTGTGTGTGTGTGTGTGTTTGTTATTCATCTTTCTCTGTCTGTTGTTCTTGATGGCAAGTTGTGCGTTTGTTGTTAATCTTTCTCTGTCTATGTGTTGTCCGTCTACTGCAGGATGTAGCCATCCAACAACGACCTCGACTACTCAGATTTACCAGATGTTCTCCGTCTACATGTTGTACCCATCCACTCTCTGTCGTCACCTTGCTACTTAATGAAAAACAATAATTGCATTTATATAGAACTTAACCGTGCTCTGCAGCATGATCTATGCACTTTACAATCGTTAATAATACCACAGAATACTCCAGAACACTCAGAAATTCTCTCTCGGCTTCCTGGAAGGCATACAGTGCAAACAGCTCTCAAAAACTATCAAACTGACACGTTCTTTTCTTGTTGCTGGAGTATTAATTGTACAATCGACGTGGTCTGTCCTATTTTACAACAGAGGTTGCGCTATCTTTGACTGAAGCAAAGTTTGTACGTTGTAATAATTTAATTTTAGAAGATAATTGATGAATATTATGTTTTGTGGTTCGTGATTCATGATTGTTGTATGTCAAAATACAAGGTACTTAGTAGAAGCAAAAATATTAATTTTATTGATTCCTGCAGAATATTATCTTACTGCGAAAAGTTTAATTCTTCTAAATTTTGATTCGCTACTAATTTTGACAAAATGGACAAGATTAGGACAAATTGACGTGTCTCATCAACCTCTGCAACATTTTTGAATTTAATTTATTTATCTATTTATTTTTTAAAGTTTTGACACACTACAATGTTGAATAGTGGTGACGAATAAATTATTATCATGGCCCTCATCTTAACGAAATACTTGTTGCGTCCCTTTTCTCGTCACCTCGTCACTTGTTTGGCCTGGTCCATTTTTGTTCGAGTGCTGTCCCCTTGTGGTGACTGTGAGTAAATTTAGAGATGTACTGTATACCGGATTTTTTTCGCGCGTTACTTAAATTTACAATTTTCGCGATTTCGAAAGGAACTTGTGAGTTCAAGTGGTTCGAGAAAATAATGTCAATGGGGGTGATGCTACATTGTACATAATATTGGAGAATCCAACCGTCTAAGAAGTTTTTCTTTGTTCTTATAGTCATTCGAATGTATGTGGGGTTGTGCGCGCGCGCGCGCGCGCGCGCGTGTGTGTGTGTGTGTGTGTGTGTGTGTGTGTGTGTGTGTGTGTGTGTGTGAGAGAGAGAGAGAGAGCGAGAGAGAGAGTATTTGTGTAGTCCTTTTGTATTTGTGTGTATGTATTTTGTCTGCCTGTGTGTGCGTGTCTGTGTAGTTGTCTTGTTTATGTGCACGCGTAATATGTATGTCTGTGTGTTATCTTATATAGGGCCTATGTGTCTGACACATCTGTATACATGCCACTGGGCGACTCAAATTAATTGCACCGAAATCGAAACGTTCGGGGAAAACAATATTCTGGTCAAAACGCGGAAAATAAGAGCGCGCGAACAACCCCAGGTATACAGTACTCACTCGCGTTGGGTCTGTGTAATCTTAAAGTCTCCGAGGGGCAAGCGTGAAAAGTCAGCCCCCTCTCTCTGTGGTGCACGTACGTTTCTCTGTGGGGATATGGTGTCCTGAAAACTAGATCTGTGAACAATATACATTCTACATGATGGTACGGTGTTTTCCTTTTTTGTGTCCTGGAAAGTGCAGGTTGTCTTCAGTAACTTATTCATTTTGTTTTATTACCGTGATCTTATATTTTGTGGGGGGGGGGTTGACTAAGTTATTGACATGCCCACATAATCATTCCACTTTGAGATAAAGCATGTTGATGACGTGAACTTTTTTTTCTTTTCTTTTTTTCAGCTGGAGGACAGAAACAGTGAGTATTAACCTCTACCTTCTAGATCTAGTAGCGGGACTGTGTGAAGACTTAAAACGTCTCTGCTGGTTCTCTTATTGAGTTCTAACCTGCTACATTTTTGGTCTATCATTTCTGATTGCTCAGTGCATCATCATGTGTATTTTGTGGACACCAGAGTAACACCAGATGGGTGACGGCGATCGGGAGACATTAGCCTAGGATAATAATAGGACTTTTGAGAGCATTTGAGCGGAGAAATGAGAGGAAAACCATACATGTCAATTCAGATCTGACACTTTTCATGGCGACGAGTGAAAGAGAAGGAAAGATCGAGAGTGTGACGTCCTAAATTTTGTGTACCGTTCACGGGTACCGTTACAAGATTGGTTTGTCGGCCTACGTGTATGGGTGCTTGTGTACGTGGGTAGAGGTAGGGGTGAGGGATACGGGAATGGCACAAGTGGATGGACATGACCTGCAAGCGGGGTCAGGCGGATTGAGTTGTAGGGGATTGACACCATTATTTTATGTTTTTTAAAGTTTTAGTAGAGGTTTTACGGCGCTCGCAACAGAGTAAGGTCTTATGAGCGCCAGAAGATTACATGTGTTACAAGAGAGTAACAAACATAAAAAAGAAGAAGGGGAGATAAGGACGATAGATGTTTGATAGGAAAGAAGGAGCAAACCACACCAGAGCACCCGCCAACCACCCACTTATGTTTCCTGTTATAAGTTTTAGTTGCAAAGTAATCTTTAGTAGTCTTTTGGTATTTTGCTAACAACTGTATCTTCAGTGCTGTGTTCACTTTCACAGCTAAGCTTGACTAATTTCTGCCTGACCTTCACACTTCTTTCAGTGCTACCATTGTTTGTTCAGTCGATCTGGGCCATCACTTGATGTCATCTGAGAATATAGGAGTGGTTTACTCTGAATTGTTGTATCAGGTTGTCTTAGAAATTGCCATCAAAATTGTTTTAAAAGTTGGATTTTGATTTCCATTGGGTACTGTCGATATACAAAATGAATTAACATATACTGGTTGCCATTCTTCTCTATATTATTGTATGTTGACAAGCAAAAAGCTGAGTGGTAAGGAGAGAGAGAGAGA